CAAGTAATAAGCTGTTTTCCTTTTTCCCTACCATAGACTCTTAAGTATTTGAAAACCATTCCTTTACATTTCAATCTTTTAGCTTTTAGATTAAAAAAAACCCCAAAACATAGTAAACATAGTTAAGTGTTTCTTCATAGACCCTTTTCTGGACATGTTTTGTGTATCCTTATCCAAGTTACAAGAGAGGTGAATCAGTTGTAAAGAACTGTGCCCAAAAATGGACACAGGGTTCCAATAGCCTTGTCAGGGATAAATAAAATACAGAAATGTTATTGAGGTTGTAGTAAACTCTTATTTATGCTGTTGGCCTTGTTTGGTGGGTTTTGTGGGTTTGGGGGAGTTTTTGGGGTTTTTTCTGGGGGGTTGTTTTTTTTTTTTTTAATTGGTGTGGCATTGATTTATGCTCACTTGTGATCCCCAACTGCCTGGTTATTTTTTATAGGCTTCCTCAGCTGATATTTGTTTTCTTGAATTTGTGCTATTCATTACTTCTGTGGAAGTGCTGATATTTGTATTTTTCTTTACTAAATTACACTCACTTGAATTGTATTGAATTCTAATACTGCGGTTTGTTGCAGCATCTTTGCCTCCCCGCCCCAGCTTGGCATCGTTTGTAGATCAGTTAAGAGGAGTACTAACTGTTCCAATGTTCAGGGTATCTGTGAAAAAAACTAATTGTACCGGATGCAGGGCAGATTCCCATGGAACACTGCTTGATATTTTCTTACAATCTGATTGTCAACTAATATGTGAAACTTTCTTCAGTAGCCCTGTGTGCACTTTTTTTTAATTTCAGCTGAACAGTATTCGCTTAGCTTGCGGCAAACTTCTCTGTTACCCTGTAGAACAGGACAATGTTCCTTGTGGGCAGGGGAGGAACAGTTGATGGCCTCTGTATTGAAGGTTATTGGCTCTGTCTCTCACTAGGTTTCTGTTTGTAGTTTCTGTAAGATTTGCAAAGTAAACATTTAAGTAAGTGTCCAGTTTGGGCCCTGCAGCATGAACTCATATTAAGAAGAGAATCCACCCGCTAACAGAGAATGCTCTATCTCGGTATAAAGCTTCAATTAAAGCACATACCTCTTCAGCTTGCAAAGTCAAGGGGTCAGGAGTTTTACATTAGTAGAAAAAGACGGGTACTTTTCACTTCCCTGTGTCTAGGGTTAAACCAAGGCCTGGATGGCTAGATGCCAGAACATACCAGATTGACTTTGTGTTCTGCAATTTTTTGTTCCTTCTGGAAGGGCCAAGAGGCGTGCCAGACAGATGGCAGGTCCCATTGCTGTTACTCCTCCTGGTGTCTGGGTGCGTAATTGCATAGAAAAGAACTTGCACAAGCCTTCAGTGAAAGCTTTTGCTCAATGCTTTAACTGTGTCACCGTGACGGCAGGAAGGTAGCTGATGTAATAAATGTAGTTTAGTTTGGGAGTTGAATGCTGAAAATAGTTTGGAACCACTGGTGTATCCCTGCTGAAGAAAGGATAGTCTAAGCTTTTTTGGTTTAATTTGAAGATCTTTTCAGAGATCTGAAACTGAGAAGTGCTTTTTTCCACTAGTTTAAAAAAAAAAAAAACACCACGCTTTTTTCTTTCTTTCATTTTCCTTGTATTCTCTTATAACCTAGTGCCTGATAAAATAAATCAGAGAATGCAGAATAACCACTAGAGAAGCCATGTGTACTTCTCAAGGTCAATAACAATTTTCTTGCCGCGTTCTCCTTTCAAAAGTCTTTTGGGCTATTTAGTTGAAGACACTGGAAAAATGCTTATTCTGACATTAATTCTTAAACCAGACAGCATAAAACTTACTATTTTACTTCTTCATTAGTTGTTGATTTAAACAGGCACATATCCAGACTTTAGAAACTGTAAAAGATGGAAACCAGTACATGATAGACTGTGCAATGACCATATGCTGCATTATATAGGGCCAGTTTTATTTATTGTTTCAGGGCAACATTATGCAAGTGTTAACTGGGGAGAGGGGCAGGGGGAAGAAGGATGAAAACTTTATCCCCTTCCAGATGCAGGTTAATGATCCTCTGAGTGGTGATGTAAAAAGCCTTGGCAACGCTCAACTGTCCTTCCTTTGCTTTCTTTTTAAATCTTTAGAAAACTGAATACAGAGTAGCAAATAGTATTTGGAAATCAAAACTTTGGTTTCTCTTTCATTTATATTACAACACAAAACTTAAACCTTAAACTAAAATAGGGTAAGATGATGTTTACCCTGAATAATTATCCTAACTTTTAATTTTTGCTGGCATAGGTAGGCTGGTGAACCTTTGTGTGGACAATGAATGCCAGCCTGTTCTGGTTCTAGTTAGAACAAAATAAGCTAGGCCAGCAGGTTTGCTTCTTTCTGTTGCTTTTGCATTGGTGTTAAGACTTGTGTTGACTTGGCTATTTTTTTTAAATAACAAAAAACAAAATCTGCACTTCTAACTATCATAGTAAAACACTATCTAGACCTGCATTTTTTTTTAAAAGTCTTTTGACTGTTTCATGAGCAAACTGAAGAAATATGCTCTTAATGTCAGGTGAGTGCAGAACTGTTTGGAAAAACTTGCAGAGAATAGTTGCTAGAAGCTTATCTTAAAAATTTGATTTACTGAAAAGGACTCTGTCAGTGTCTGTCCCTGCATCCATTACTAATCAATATTTTCATTAGCAATCTGCTAGAATAAAGTCTGTTTATTAAATTTGCAATGAGACCAAACAGAAAAGAATTGTTAACTCTGAGAGCAGGATTGAAGTTAACAGTGTTGTTAACTATGCTAAGTATTATCATCAACCATACTAAATATTATCAACTATACAAATACAGGCCAGGGATGGACTGGTTGTGTCAGTCTTTTAGAACAGCATTTGGATTCTGTAGCAGACCACAGCTGAATATGAAACAGTCATGGGATGCTTTTGCAATAAAGGCAAATATCATACTGGAGTGTGTTAATGAGATTGTCCACAAGATCCATAAAGGACTCCTCTGACTTCGTTTAGCATTGCTCTTAGCCAAGATATCACCTTGGCCACTGCATTTAAAAAACAAAAAACAGCTCAACTCCAAGAAAGATAAAGAAATTATCAAAATTCTTTTTTTTTTTTTTCCATAAAAGCCTTGGGTTTTTTTTAATAGAAATTCTAGCTGTCTAGTCAAAAGATGAGAAGGCTCAGGAATCTCTTACAGGGTCTTTGAGAATAACAGGTCTCTGCTGGAACTGGAAAGCTGATCCTTGGGAGACTGAAGGAATGAATGTTTGAAGTCCCTTCAATGCTGTTTTGTAGCCTTTTTGATGAGCGCAGGTAGTCAAGTGATTCACTTTCAGGAGAATGGAATTAAGAGGAAGGTGGCGTAAACAGAAGGAGAGAAACCGTTTAAAATAGAAAAAAGGCAATGTTCATTGTTCATGTTTGTATGATAGTCTTAATTTTTGCTTTTAAACACTACTTTGTTCTGACAAAACCGTATCTGTTTGTTGAACACTAGAGCTAATTTGAGCAGTGATCATATGATAACTGCTGGCTGTTTTCAGGTTCTTGGAATCCTCTGGTAATGAAGGATGTTGCCTCCAGAAACTGGCTTGGAGTAAAGGGGTGGACACACCACCAGAGAAACATCTGATTATAGACCTAATTGTGTTTCTCATAAGGAAAATGTCTCAAAACCCTAGAACTGAGACCAAGTATGAAAAATAAAATGGAAAAATGTATTGTATACAAGTTTCTCAACTTGAAATTTAACAAAATATAATTATGATGATAAAAAATTATAATACTTTGCATTGAGAAACCTAGTGCTCTTCCTATGCTGAATACAGGATTTCCTTAACCTGAAACTGGGTGTGCGTGACAATTGCAAAATATTCTCCAGTCCAGAGGAAACTTTTCTACTCTTTTAGGTATGATTAATGTGACAAAGGCAATTGAGAATTCTCCCTTCCTTGATTTTTTTTTTTTTTGGAGGTTGGAGGGTGGGTGGGTTAAACCTGTAGAAGAGTTTATACTTTTTTTTTTTCAGGCCAGCAGCTCTGTCAGTTGACATTGATAAACTTATTCCTCAATGTATAGGAGGAGAGGAGAAACGTTTTGCAGACAGAAACCATGATGAGAAGTCCAGACTTCCCTTCAGCTCTGAACTCTCGCTGAACTTCATCTTCAATATTAGGTTTTGGTTAGTAAATATTGTAAAGAACATGTGTCAAGCTCACCTTTTCCTCGTTTTAAAGCAGAAGGAAAGAGATGGATTGTGTCAGTTCTTAGCCCGTAAAACTGGCTGCTTGAAACCCTCGAGCATTGGTACCAGCTATCAGAAACTGCTTTTTAGCATGATAAAAGCTGACCACACCAGCTTTAATTTAGTTGTTCATTATTACTTGACAAGAAGAACTAACTGCTGATGCTTTCATGGCACTTAAATTTTGTATGATGTTTCTTTGGCAATTCCCTGCTCCTTTTTTTTAATTATATAGTCTATTGAAACCCTTGGTTTTGGTCACTGTATTCGAAAACAAATCTTCTCTTTCATTGCTGGAGAGTATTAACAAGTTAATATGTATTCATACTGGCTTTTACTGAAATTTCCTATATGTGTCTGGCCCAAATGGCAGAGCAGGAGGTCAACTTGAACAGGTTGTTTACCATTTGAGATTTGAAGTATGGAAAGCAGGTTTCACTGTTTTATTTTATTTTTTTTTTTTAAAAAAAAACAAAGCCACAGACTGGACACTTCACCCATCTCTCTGCCAGCAGACTTAAATAGGTTAGACCTAAAATGTTTATTTTGCAGTTTGTGTAAACTGTAGCAAGTATTAGCTCAGGTAGCATTTACATTGCACAATTCTTCACAAACAAGTATGTTAATTGTAGAGCTAATATTGTATCATCAAAGACTGAACCCTCAAATGTCAGTTAAAAATGGAGCCATGTCAGTTCTCAGAATTATAAAATAGATTCCTTCGTTTTATTTTTCTTTGTAGATAATTAAGAGATGCTCTGTTCATTACTTGTAACAGTTGTTAAATGTGGAGTCTTGTGTAACTGCATACTCAAAACCACAGAGTGATCAATGACGGCTTTTAATGGCCATGAAGTTAAACATGTGGCTACATCAAGTTACCATGGGGTAAACTACAGAGCGCGTTACCTCTGGTTAGCTGCTGTGCAGTGACTGCCCACGTGCTCCCTGTTACGCCAGGGTAAGTGTGAGGTCCGCTTCCATACGAGGAGTACATAGACAGCTCCTCTGAGGCCTCGGGACCCAAAAGGGCAACATGTAGTAATCCTGCCAGAATCATTGTAACTTCAGAAAGGTGTAAAATGAAGATAACACTTAGTGGTTATGAAGTGCAATGTTGCCTGGGCTTTTTTGGTTGGATGGGTAGATTTGGTATTTCTTTTGCTTCTTTTTGGTGTACTGCACAGGTATGCAGACTAGGATCTGAATGGGAAGAATTTTTCCCAGTCTTGGGCCTTCCTGTGGCTCTGGCCCCTCTGTCCACCAGCGAAAGCCCAGGAGTAGAAGATGATGCTCCTCATGGTTGACTTTGATAATGTCCTATGTGCAGACAAGGAAGGTCAGTTTAGAAGAATGTAGAATGATGAGAACTCAGTTCCCGTGATAGACAGGGGTAGAAGGATGGAAAAAAATCCTGATTTGCACAAGTACCAAGAATGAGGAAGAAATGGCTTCTCCGTGACAAAGAGGAACTTGCACTACACTTCACAAGTAGGTGGTTCTCCCGTGCAACAGCTCATTAAGTGTTAAGCTGGGCAACGTACCAGCTTCTAGTGAGTTAAAAGGTTGATAACATTCGTAGTTGAGGAGAAAAAACAATACATTCGCCCAAGGTTGTGAACTTCTTGGTGTGTCCCGACTTACATGTTGCACTGCCATTGATGCTGACACTCTTTAAACTGCCATTGATTCTGGATGTTTTAAGAGGTGTACTGAGGAAAAAGAACAAAAATAAAGAGATGATAAGATACTAACAAAGTAGTAAGGTAGCTGATAAATGGTGTGGAGAAAAGATTTTATTTTTTTTTCTCTGAGTATGACACAGAACTAAATAGTTCTAAATTGATCACATGCTTGTAAACAAATAATATAATATAGTGTAAAATATACTTTTATTAGCATACCAGCAATAATTCAAGTGTTTTTCTAGGGTTCTCTTTTGTTTACTGATGTTTTAATATCTTTCCTTCTAAATTAAATGACTGGCTCCTTCTACTTTAACTTTGTTATTTTTAGAATTGTCTTTCCATACGTGCAATCTCTAATGGATGGACTTGGTATGGTTTCACAGTCTATACTGGAAGTATTGCAGCCTGGACTGCTATTCATGCTTCTGCGTGTGATCTTGCTCCATATTGTTAAGATGTGAATTTTATTGTTTATTCCACCTAGCTTCTCTTTGGTCTGAAAATAGCTTTGGTTACTGAGGAATTTTTAACTGTAAACTTGTTGATTATAAATACAGTCTTTACTGAGTTTATTTCTCATTTAGCTGTGTTTTCTGCTCTAAGGTTACTGTCTGCATTTTAGGCTTTTTATATTTAATGCAAGAATGCCCAGGGCTTGCTTGAGCAAGTAAAACTTGCTTGTGCTTTGAGTTTTAGACACAGGTCAGTTTAGATCTTGAGGTCCTGTAAGCATGTCAGCACAAGAATGTGTCCAGGATAGCAGTTTCCCCCCCCCCCCATCTCACAGCAAGAATTAGTAACCTGGACATAATGTGTACTGTAGTTATACGTTCACTGACTCAAGGTGGTCATTTCTTACCATCTTGGAGTAAAGCGACTTCTATCTGTACCTGTTTTAAGAAATGCAACTCCAATGACTTTTTTTTTTTTTTCCTTCATATCTTATGTGGTGGAGAGACTGGATGTATTTGGTGTCTGTAATATCACCAACCCTAGGTATATAAGGCTTGTGTATTCCAAGTCCTTGTCTCTCTTTGTGGTTTAAATGCAACATTATACCAGCATGTCCTTTCCTGAATCTGTGATGTGAAATACTATGTTATCTTGATCTTGCTTTGTGTAAGGTGTTCTTAAACTGCACTTGAATTTATATTTTCTGGAATGTTTCCTTCAAACCTTTGCAGCTTTGTTGGAGGAAAATTGAGTGAATTTCAAGAAAGCATCATAAAAATGCGTTGTTATGAAACCATATTTCAAACAAGTACTATTTCTGTTAAACTTTCTGCGCGAATACTTGGCTGGCATATCTAATTAAAAATACTGCTTTGTGCAGGATGAGTCAGGCTTTTTAATTTCACAGCGACAAATTGTTTGCAATTCTAGTTCTATTTTGTGGACAAAACTCATTTATTCTCGAGCATAACGCTTGCTTCTCATACACTAATGCTGACTACTGGTTGAAGTATGCAGGTGTAATTTAACTTTTTTAATAACATTCATTCCTTTAAACCGGTTAACATTTCTGTTCAAGTATGACCAGATTATTTTGCTCTGGTTCCTAATAGGAAAATAATTAAGTATGGGGGAAAAATGGAAAGCTAAAATAAGTCTTCCACAATAAAACAGCTACTGCAGGTATCTGTTACTTGAAAACAAAAAACACCCTGGGAAAACTCAATTAAAGTTAAAAACCAAAACCATTGTATGTAAGTTAGCCCATAAGCCTGGATTATGTTTCTTTTCCCCCGTATTATGTGCCTTGCAAGACAGATGTTTGAAAAGCCCCTGTATTTATGGGAACCTAGTTAATAACTCTTTGCACTTTAGTGGAGAACTGTGATGCTCAGGTGACAGCTGAAGTTTACCCTCTGGTGATGTTCTGACAAGACTTCTGCTGTCTTACTCTAAAAGGCTATCCAGATAAAACTGTTTTGAATCTGTTTACTCAGCTGTGACTTACGGCCTAGTTTTTGGAAATAAAACAGCGCTTGACTTCAAGCGTGTCTTTGGGTATATCACATCTTTCCTAAAGCTGATTTACCAAAGTTGCAGTAAAATCCAGATTTGTTTAAAAGGTGACAGCACTTGCAGCTCTTAAACCTCTGTCTTACGTTGTATTTATAGTAATGACCAAAAATAGCATTCTGTTTTTCTGGGGAATTTTTCTTTTTGTCTTTTCAGTGTATGCCGAGAGTATTTTCAGAATGGTGGGAAAAGAAAAGCACTTGAGAAAGACGAAAAAAGAGCACTTCTTGCTTCTGAGACCACTCCAGCTTTAAATGTTCCCCAGGCTCCCAAGATTGAAGATCCCTTGCCAAGCTTTGGCTTGACAAATCATGAAGCTATAACAGAAGAGTAAGTTTTACTTGTTTTCCAGACTTTTTTTGCCCTCTTAGTGTGATAAGACTTACTGGACACTTTTGCCCCATAACATACTAGATCAGTCTGATGTACTTTTAATAGTTAAGAAAGGGCATTTTCATTTCAATATATACATGTTTCAAGAAGTATTTATGTTGTTGTATATTTTGGTGGATGCCCTAAAAAATTGCTTGAGAATGACAACTTAGTCATCTTCATTTAAGTGTTAGAGCAATTTCACTTTTGTATGTCATTGGTGTGCAGTGCAATTTATATTAAACCTTGAGGTGAAATAAGGGAGACGTTAATTAAGTTAGAATCTAATGGCTGTTCAGCGCTGTTGAAAAGTCAATTGCTTATGTAAGTACTAAGTGCCAAATGTAAATATCAGAGTACTTAAAACTTTCTCTTCATAAATAATTGCAGAGAAACTCTTGATTCCAATTATACACTTCAAAAGCAATTTTGTATTATAACCCTTAATTTTAAATGTGCTAGCTCTCTGATGACTGGCTCTGCAGAAGTTGTAGTATCCTTGAGGTATTTTCCTAACAACAGTTTTAATTTTGTTTTTTGACCTTCACTCAAGTAAGAATTTTACTTTTGGCATTCAGGAGTAGCTTTTTTATTTCAGTTACAGTCCCACCCTCCTTTTTTTCCTAAATAACATGGGTCATATTTGTGGCTATTCCATGTGTGATGGAAAGAATTTAGTATTTTGCAAGTATAATGGCTTAATGAATGCATAAGCATATTACCATTAAATGTTACCCTTATGACTTGCTTCATATTCTTTATAGACCAGTTCTTACAACTGTCTGCAATAGTGTTTTTTCTGTTCTGCGAAGAGTCTTCTCTCATTATTGTAGCATGTCTTCTGTGATCATCACTTACTTTAAGTTAGATACACTATTAGTTAGGAAAGAAACGGGCATGTTACTAATGGCATTAGCAGATGTGTTTGTCCTTATGAGCTGGTATTGTTTGTGGTTTCTCATGTTTGTAAAGTAACTTGCAAAAAGCATAAAGATCCCAAATGCCTATGTAGTTGAATAGTTACATGCAAAATGAAAACATTATCCCTGTTGATGTCCTATTATGACAAGACAAAGTAGATGCTTCCAAAATGAAGGTAGTAGCTTCGCATAAGCTGACTTCCCCCACAACTCCTCTTTTTAGTGCTCGTTTTGTTAAGTCAGCCTCAAAATAAATACCTGTTTTTAATGAGAACTGCCAGGCACTTTCACACAGAGGGCTGATGAGATACTAATACCTTGTAACATCTTAATAGTGCTGGCGTTTGTTAACACATGGTTTTAGCATTACTATAAATAGCAGTTTGTTGCTACCGGTTTGTTTAAATCAATACGTTTGATCATATCATGATTTTTTTTTTTCTTCCAGTGGGAGGCCTTGTCATGATAAAGCATTAGCTCTCTCTTTGCATATGTTCTGTCTTCATACTTTGCACAGCTTCTTATAATGGCTACTGCGGAGCTAATTTCACATGAGTTTCTTCTTGCTACCAGTAGTCTGTAGCCTTACCTTTTGTTCTGACTAGTGTGTATAGTAAGTAATTAATAGAGATGCTTTTATGAAATTATTTTTAAAGTATTTCTTGATATACTGAGTGATGATGGTATTTTTAATCTTCATTCTCAAACCTTTAAAAATATATACATCCATAAAGACATACCTGGCAAAGGCAAGATTCCTAATACTTACCTGAGTAAGCAACAAATGATAGTAACGTTTTTAATATCTGTACAGACCTTAAAGCAACAAGGCATAGCTGTTCTAAGTTACTGCCCAGAGAAATTAAAATTCAATTTCTTCCTCTATGCCTTATAGAAGAAGTTACAGAGCTTATCAGAATGAAAACAGATTGTGCATTACACAAAGCTT